ACTATTTTGAATATTAGAGATGCCTTACTATTTTTCTCGATGGAGCTTCGCCTCAAGCCAAACCCGAATCAGCATTAATGCTTTCGCTTTTGTCGATCAATGCGCATTTCGGGTTCAGAGTCATGTTTCTTAGATCACGGTTTCGGTAACTGCGGCCAGGTCACATTACACCGTTATATCGTTATTAAACTAAGGATAATTTAAAAATTAAGGTGCTAAAAATAGAAGCGATTAAGCAAGGCATTTTTATTATCAAATACTTGTGGTATGAATAATCCTAATAGAATGTGTCGAGTTTGTTATAGTTATTATTTAATAATTGAGAGAAATAACGAAGATAAGGCGTTTGTTCGTTATCAAACGATTACTATTTCAATAGGACGTATTAAGTTGATCACTGTTATTATTTAAAAATTAGGGATAAAAACAATGCACTTGTTCATTAAACATTTACTGATGTGAATTATATCTTTTTATCTACAAAGAAGATACATGATGCACAGTATATGAGTAATACTTGGCAGATGAAGAAGGTGAACTTGTGTAGAGGAAGTAGGGATTGTATTAAGCAAAAAGATGATTGTGTTAGGTGAAGTAGAGGAAATATAAATATTATTCATCATATTTAAATTTATTTACATTTTATGTGAGCGAATTAGAGGACTTTGCTGTACAGCATTTTGTGTTTAAAACATTTAAGATTTGTGCAGAGAAATTAGATGTTTATGTGAAAGAAGAAGGTGTTTGTATAGGGGGAAGAAGATGTTTGTATGAAGGGAAAAGGTGTTCATGTGGAGGAAGAAGATAAACTTGTATTACTTTCTTGTATAACACCTTTGTGTAATCTAAAGTATCTTTTATATAACATTGTATCACCTGAGGTTATGTGAGGTCATGTAACTGCACCACACTTCTAATAGCCAATTAGAATATTCCTATATAATTACTATAAAATATACTATCTAAATATATAATAACTAATATATAATAATAAATACTATTTTAACTATATATAAAAATACAAATATTAAATATTTATAACTAAAAATAACTAAATAAAATTTATATTAAAATCTACTTTGTAACAATATGCTTTAAATGTTTTGTATTTTATAATGCCTTTGAAATTGCTATTAGCTCTGCTACTGCTTCTATTTCATCTATATAGCTTCGTATTATTTCTTCAATGACAGAACCTATTTTTATCTCTATTACTTGTCTTTCTGCTCTTCTTTTCAGCTCTATTACTGCTTGAGGGTCTCTCATTCTCACTAAGTTCTCTCATAATACTGTTATCTCATATCTTGTTTGGCCGTCATCATTGCTCTTTTTAATTCAACTACTGTCTAAAGCTCTTCTTATTCTTTGAACTGCTTGTTGTTTCAGCATATACTGGACTCTTCCTCATTGTTTCTTTCTATACATCCTTTATATAAATATAGAAATATTCATCTGATCTAGATGTATTATTTTTGTCCCAATACTCTATCTTATATCTTCTATCTTCTTTTTTCTTTACTATTTTTCCAGCTTTAGCATTTTTATTCTCTTCTTTGTAGATAATCTACTCCTGTCTTCTTTTATCACTACTTATCTTATATAGCCTTGCTTTGATTAAGTTGTAATTTTTTGGGTCTCTGTAGAATTCTGTTTTTACTTTTTTATTAGTTTTGCTCTCAAGTATCATTTTTTCTAGTTCCTGGAACCATCTTGTTTTTTCTTCTTGCTATTACAACCTCTGAGTTTCTTGGTCTGGTCCTATATAAGCAGTTTGTTTCCTTCTCTGTTGAGTAATTGTTCGAGTGTGAAGACATTCATTATTTTTCTTGTCTGAAGCTTGGTTTATACTTTTTTTCAATATGTTTGCTATTTTAGTTCCACTTTCTATGACTTCTAAATTTCTTTCCATTTCTAGTGACCTAATACTAATTTTCAATCTTTTTGCTTCTCTAATTATTTTGTAGTATAGATTGTTTTTGATGTCTATTTGCTTTACTCTCTGTAAACTAAGATCTAAGATGCATTTGCTGTTTTGAGATTCAGTTGTACTTATATAATTCTTAGCCATATAGCTCAGCCTATGTCTTGCTTGTTGTTTAGCCTTGCTATTAGTTCTGTGATATGGTGTGCTAGTTGGTTCTGCCAAATTGTCCTTATTTCTACTATGTTTTAGTATGCTATAGTTATATTTAGCATTGTATACATCATCTTCGCTTTGTTCTAATTAGCATAAAGATTGAGCTCTGTAGTCTATTGCAAACTTCTCTTGGAAGGATATAGAGCTAATTTCTGTATTCTATTCTTGGTATTAGCACTTTGTTGTTAATATACTGTATACGTGCTAGAGATATTTTTAGCCCCTTTACTATCACCTATACTTTTTTTTTAATAATTTTATATATATACTTTTGTTTCATTTTTTCAGATATCCAAATTTCAAGATATCTTGTCAAACCTTCTGGCTTCTTTCGGGTTACCAATTCTTTCTTTAGTTCAAATCTTATTTTATTATTTGTTATCTCCTGGTTTGCTGAGAAAAGCACCACCAACTTTGACTTCTTCGTGTTTATTTCTATATCATTAATTTTGAAAAACTTATTTGCTATAACTGTAATCTTGTCTAGCTCCTTTTTATTTCTTGCAATGTATATTATATCAGTGTTGTTAATTGGAAGGTCTAGTGCTAATTACTGGAACTAGAAGCTTAACTAGAACTTACTAGATGGAATTGGAAGATATAGTGGTTCCAGTGTTAAGTTGTTACTAGACCCTTCCAGTTAACTTTTTTTTACCACTAGATCGAAGTTCCAGTGATGTCCAGTGATGTCCAGTGGTGTCTAGTAATTAATGTTTCTAATATTTAAGTTAAATTTTATAGATACTTGTTATTGTATGGATATGTAGTGAATAACTGTGGCCGAAGGCCACAGGTTATTTATATACCCATACAATAACTAGCAGTGTCTGACGAATAAATAAGTTTAGCGCATATACTGTACATTAACAAATCAGAACATATCAAGCTAGTGTGAGAAAACTTATAATTAAAATTTCTTTTTATAATAAAACTTTATTTGATCGCTCAAATTGTAATACAACATCGCATGTTAAATTATTTAATGCTATATAATTATATATACTTTTAAATTATTACTGCATTAAAGACAAAACGATTACTGGATTAAGGCCCGTGACATTGTTTTATATTAATGCCCAAACACATACAGTCTTTGAACTAAATCGGCTTAGATTATACTTCGGGCAAAATTTTAAACTAACATAGTTTAGGTTTGTTCGTACTGAAATTTTAAACTTTGGCCTATCGAGTATCTCAATTTTTTCGTTATATATACTTTTAAATTATTACTGCATTAAAGACAAAACGATTAAGGCCCGTGACATTGTCTTATATTAATACCCAAACACATACAGTCTTTGAACTAAATCGGCTTAGATTATACTTCGGGCAAAATTCTAAACTAACATAGTTTAGGTTTGTTCACGCTGAAATTTCAAACTTTGGCTTATCGAATATCTCAATTTTTCTGTTATATAAACCTCCTAATACAATACAAAATCTGTCCATCATGCATATCAGTTTTGGGAGGTTCTTAGATTGCATGTAATAATTCAACTCTTATAGATTATTTTTGGAGATTTTGGGTTTGCCAGTAGTATCGCTGTGATCCCGAATCATAAAATAAAAAAGATGTTCTACACACTTACCATATCCAAGACTTAAAAAGTAACTGACCTAAATCACATCATATATCAATAAATTTGCAATTTCAACCTTATAGCCTAAGTTCATGCCAATCGCATCAATAATGTAATTAAAATAGAAAAATTAAATAAAAAATAATTATTACATAGTAAATAGAGAACATAATGACAATGACAAGAATAATTCTTACTTTGGATAAGTTGAAAGATATGCACATATTGAGCTTCAATCAAACTTTCAACAACACCTGCCATTAGAATTTTCTTTTTGAATTTCGGTATATATATAATATGTGTGCCAAAAATTTAAAAGGAAATTAGACTTCCTTTTATAACCTTCTACACTAATGAACACCTTGATAGGAATTTTAGCAACAATCATATGAGTACCGTCAAAGGAAAACATACACATTTATATATAGGTTATATTTAAATATGTATGTTTCCCTTGGCGGCACTCATAATTAAAATGTAACACAGCACCTCAGGTTTTTATAACCGAAATTGAGATTTGATGCATATTACTATATTACAATTCCTCTTAATTAAGAAAGTTCAAATAAAGACAGTTCTATTATCTATTGTTGGGTAAGCCTGGAGATAAACTGATACGTATTCAAATGTACATATTTTTTCCCATTAACCCTTAAATATAGGTGCAAACCAGCTTATGATGAATTCGCTTGTGAGTTATACATATTTTTCTTTGAGTTCCAAATAGTTGTAAAAGGTTATAAATAAATGTAGCTTCAGAAATCTCAGTTCATTCTTCAAATCAAAAGTTTTATCTATTACTTTTTATTTAAAAAAAAACTTTTTTGTCTTTATTAGTGTAATTTTATTAAAATATTATACAAAATGGCACGATGATATGCAGATGGTCCTGAAAAACATAGATTCACCAATGATATTATCGTGCTTGGCACGAAGACAACAAATAAACATAATACATATGGTGTATATAAAGCTTGTGATGATGCTTTTGGCCATGAAAAAACTCTAAAATCATCATTAACCAATAAAAAAATACAGTCGTAATCACTTAAAAAAAATGCACACATTTCTGTGCTAAACTAGGATCTCAAGAGGCAGTAGATACATATTGCAACAGGACTGATGATGAAGAAGAACCTACATCTCAAATTGCAAAAAGGCGCCGAAACACTGAAGTGTCTGGTAAAAACCTTATTTTTTAAAAAAAATTAAAATATCACCTTTAATTAATAATTTTTTTTTTTTTTTTTTTTAAATAATAAGATGATGATAATACAAGTGATATGACCAGTAGCACTACAACTTCCACTGTGTCTAATCGCAATAGCAAACAAAAATCATCAACAGCTTCTGTAACAAACTTCATTGTTCGAGGCATTACCACAAAGGAGAAACCAAAATTTGAAAGGTTGTTACTTCGGATGACAATTTCAAATGGATGGTCTTTTCGATGGACAACAGATCCAGCTACTTTAGAATTCTTCGAATTTTTAAACTCAAAACTTACGCTTCCTAGTCGGCATGCTTTATCTAATCGTATTCTTAATGCTGAAAAGACTACTCTGACCCAGTTCTGTAAACAAAACCTAAAAAATGATAAGATTGGAGTTACTTTAGCATTTGATGGATGGAAAAATATTTTAAAACAACACATATTCGGTTCTTTATTTATCTTATCAACTGGAGAAACGTTAATTTGGAAAGCAATCGACATAAGCTTAGAGAGAGAACGTATGATTGAAATTATTCCCAAAATTGAATCTATGATTAATGAAGCATCAGATCTAGGTGCCAAATTATCTGCTATCGTTTCTGATAGTGCCCCAGCATATTCCGGTGCTAGGTAAAATTTATAAAAAAAATAAATAAATAAATAAATAAAAATAAAAAAATAAATAAATCAAAATAATAATAATAATAATAATAATAATAATAATAATAATAATAAAAGAAAGAATCTTTGTTTAAAGATTCTAAATCGGTTTACTAATAAGCCATTAGTTAACAAAAGATTAATGTTTTAAATAGACGTCGGTTAAGATTACTATATCTAAAAATCATTTTTTTACCCTGCTTCACTCATCAATATAATCTTGCTGTAGAAGAAATCTTCAAAGAATCTAACGAATTTAAAGTCGCATCCAAACAGGCTCTAAAAATAGTTTCATATTTTAATCATGCCATTAATTCATACTTCATTGGAAAACTTCGAGATATACAATTTCAAATATACAAAACATGTATTACCCTAGTTTGCCCAGCAGATACTCGTTGGAATTCTTATTCCTACTGCTTTAAAAGTTTAATAAAATCCCACCAGGCTTTGAGAGTAAGTATTATATTCTTTTAAAAAATTTGTTATAAAATTTTTAAAGTATACCTACTATAATTATAATATAATAAGGAAATTTAATCCACATTTACTAATCTATATACGATAGTTTAATTCTGATGTTAATAAAATAATAAAATGGTTTAACTTAATTCAATAATAATAATTTTGTTTTAAAGAATTTAGCTACTACACACGAATCTCCTTTGGATAGTTTAACTCAAAATTCTGATAATAAATTAGGTCAATCTTCAACCAACTTAGATAAAATTTACCTTCTACAAGATATAACATCAATTCTGTTCAATGATAATTTTTGGTATTCAGTAAAATTGTTGCATTCATTGCTTCTTCCTTATTGCGAAGTCCTCAATAAATTACAATCAGATACTGCTCGCCTTCATGAAGTGCTACAATCTTTTGGTGGAATATTAAAAATATGGGAAGAATATCTTGATGAAAATTTAGCAGGGTGTATAATCTTACGGCTAGAACAAAGGTGAAAGTAATGAGAGCAACCGTTATTGTTATTGGCTTTTCTTTTAAATCCAAGTATCTATGATACTTGGTTCAAAACTAATACTGATAATTTAAACTTTATATACCTTGCCTAATTCATTACTTATTACTATAAAGCATGGTTTGAGCGTCCACCAACCTGTATTCTACTTGAGTTTGAAAAATATAGAAAATATGAATACTCATTTGATTGTTCTACATATACACAATTTAAAGGAAATGTATTACAATTTTGGGAATTCACCTCCTCCTCGACTAAAGAATTAGGACCTTTAGCTATACGGCTATTTGAGATCTGTGTTAATGCAGCATCTGTAGAATGATTATAGAGTTCAATGGGATTTATCTATACTAACTGACGAAATCGTCTCCAAGTGAGTATTACTGTAATTACAATATTTAATTATGATATTGTTTTTTGATTTATTTTTATTTTTATTTATTTTTTTTTTTTTTTACAAATTAATTAAATTGTAGAATAAAAAAGTGTTAGCCATGTGCCAAATTCATGCTTCAATTAACTTTACTCAACAAAAAAAACTATACAAACCTTCTAATAATCCAGCATATCAAAGTGTTGAACCTGGACAAGCTGAACAAAATAAATTAGATGATCAAGGTGAATTGGATGAAGAAAACAATTCTGGAGAAGATACTGAAACTAATATATCAGATACAATGGCATGGGAAAGTTGATTGCAAGAGTGGGAGCAAATGTTATTTGATGAAGAAACTGCTATGTTAGAAGAAGAAGAAGTGGAACATGAGAATAAAGAATATATTATGAGTAGTGATTTGTTAAGTAAATATACGCATCTGGCAATTGACCATAAAGCAAAGTAGAAGTTGAGCAGTCACTTTTTGAAAAACCAAGCTATATGAATTCTGACGGTTAGCTTTTGATAAAATTATATTGATAACAATAATAAAATTGCAAATCTCACAGCTTTATTTGTGAAATATTTAATACAGGAAATTTACCTGAAGCTTTCAATCTTAACAGTACTACGAATACAGATTACACCCA